TGGCGAGGGTTCAAACCTCACTTTTCTTGCGCACCCCTATAAAGGTTCTGTCACTGAGGGTCTAAATCCACCATGGACGAAGCAAAAGGCAAATCATCATGCCTCATGTTCGATTCTGGCATCAGGCAATCAATGGCAGAATGTAGCAAATCTTCGTTGTACACCATTAAAGCTTGTTGAAGGAAAACTTGATCAAAAGGTAAGTTTTCTGAGATTCCCACAGACTGCGCCAATTATACGAGTACAAAATAATCCTTCTTGTATAATCTTGTTAATCAAGCTTGCACTCCTCTAAACATCGTTGTCCAATCACCTAAAAATACTAATGTGAGCTTGTTGGCGGGTGTGTACCAAAAACCCCTCTAATGCCTCAGTCAGCAAGTAGACAATAGACAAAAAGTTTTGTGTATTTGAGAGTAGGAATTGTAATACCTGAGATTAGGGTTTGGTTTGAGCTTTTGTAGATTATGCATAGCACAATCCTAATAAGACTCTAACTCTCCTATGTAGAGTTCTCATAGGAATCACATTCCCAAAGGATAATGCTTATCTGTTAACACCTTCTTCACTATAAGCCAAGTGAGATGACACAAGTCTTTGCTCGGCTTTCTGCCGTGTAACCGGACTACTTTTGCTCTGTCTGCCAATGGCTTAGCCGTGTAACAAGCAGCTCCATACAATGTTTCCACAGCGCGCCACTAAGATGACATTGTGCGGCTCTCCTCCTAGCTTGGCTTTTCCCACTGTTTGACTACCTTGCTTGATAGCTTGGCCATGAAGTTAACCGTCACTAAGAAGTAGCTAGGTCTAGAAATATAGGCATTCATTAGTTCAATCAAACATCTTTAACTGTCACTAAAAAGTAGCTAAGTCCAAAAATATGGGCATTTACTAGTTTGGTCAAACATCTTTGACCGCTTCAACCTAGCTCAGCCCAATTTGGCTACACAAATTACCCTCTCAGTAATATTATTTCCCTTCTCTTTCACTCTCTTTTATTTTACCAAGTTTTGGATATCAACCATGCTACAAATCCCAAAACAATTACTCAGAATTTAAGCATTAATTTACAATATGTAGATCAGATTTGTTCTACACTTAAACTCCACAAAATACTCACTTACTCTGCATAACACATGTACATTCTGGGCAAAATCTAATCTCCTAATTCTAGGTTCACATATTAATTCTTTGGATATATCATTGATTGTGTGATTCTTGCAACTCAACTGAACTCAAGAGAAGCCGGAAGGATTTAGTTATGATTAGATTTCGCTTCTAGTAGCAATTTTGTTCACGATAGAGACATTCTGTTTGGCTTTCAATTTTCAAATACAATTTCTGAACTTTTGTTTTGCATATATGTGTCCTTCATGAAATTTTAAAAAAAAATTATTTACTTTATAAATGCACCTAATTTAGATAAAAGTCACTAAATACAAAAATTCAATACTTGATTCACCTTTTTTTGTAATTATTAATATTTTAAAATATTTCTCTATAAATAATTTACATTTTATGTGCATTTAAAAAATTACAAATATTTGACTAAAATATAAAAAATTATTACAAATAATAAAACATAAAAAACTAAAAATTTAAAAACTCAAAAAACTGTGGGAGTTTTTGTTTCCTTGACCTTGGTAAGATCATCAATTTTTCTAAAAGGGCATTACAAAAAAAGTTACTTATGATGGCGCTTGTATCAAGGCACGGGTAAATGGCGGGAGTAACTATGACTCTCTTAAGTTAGCCAAATGCCTCGTCATCTAATTGGTGATGCGCATGAATGGATTAACGAGATTTCCACTATTTTTACTAATTTTCATTATTTTTTAAATATTAAAATAGAAATAAATTAAAATAAAATATTCCAATGGCCAATTTTTTTTAAAATTTTTTTTATGGAAAACACGCTTTTCAAAACATGATATCACCTAAATTAATAAGATGCCCTTTGATATACGATAGAGTGTAATTTAATTAGGGATTAATTTATTTATATAGTTATATTAGAAAACTCGGCCGAATTATAATTATCTTAAATATTTATTAAGATAAGTATAAACCCATGTAATTTATGATCAAATCTGGAAAGGGATTTGAGCTACCACGTGTTGGACTCAGGAGGCTTTTACCTGCCTATAAATAGGGAGGAGTTAATCAACTCTGTGGAAAGGAAAAGGGAAAAAAAGAGAGAGGGAGAGGCACGTAGTTTCTGGTAGTAAGAACTTACAGTAGGAAGGTTGTGACAGTGGAGTAAGGCTAAAGGTCAATATTAAGATGAGTTATGTTATACCTTGAGTTACCATAATATATTTTGTGTATGTTTTGACTTATCATAATTTATTTTATATAAGTTACATTTTATAAATTATATTAATATTTCAATTACGTGAATTAATTTCTGAACTATATTTATTTAAAATGAAACCCATGGATATGTTTGTTTAAATTTTAAAGAATATTTGACCATGACCTTATAAACAATTATGTTTTGTAAGTACCACCACGAGAGTCCCACGTCTTGGGGGACTTAAATAACCATTGGCCTCTGTTTGGTCACTTTGTGGCCCTCCATTGTCATGGATCTATTGACCTCTGTTCTGTGCGGAGATAAATGCTACACTATTGTGAGAGCCACCTCTATAATCCGTACGAGCCACATGTTGAATCTGTACCTCTGTTCTGACTGTCACTTCTGTGACCTCTGTTCTGTCATGTTCGGTACCGTAGTTATGGTTATTTATTTATATAATCTCAGTTTTGCTACTTAAATGATTATTTATTCAAACTAAGTTATCCTAAATATTTTAGTTACGTAACTATCCATGGTTATTTTGTGTCCCTTATACTCTTGGCATAATATTTCCCACTCTGCCATGTGCTTATAGTTGTTTACCAATTTTTAGGAAACAATGCAATTCAGAAATAGCTTTTGGAAAGTCAGGTTGCGGAATAGACACACACAGTACTTTTATGATATTTTTATATCTAAATATCGACCTTTTTTGTCAATAAATTTTGTAATAAAAATAGAAGCTCTGATGATTATTTTAGTACCCTCACTTAAATATCATTTCCGCTCATGTTTATTTATTTGTTCAAGAATTGGCCGGAGGTAACTTCAGTTACTGGCCATCACGATACTTAACTCTTGGGTACGGGGAACGGGTCGTGACAGATCTTGATTTCGATTTGTGCATTAGGTCTTAGGATTTGATATTTTCCTTCGAGATTTTTCGATTTTCCTTAATCTTAACTGATCTAGGTCTTCGTTTTTCATGGATTCGGGTATTCAATCGCTCTTGATTTGGAGTTGCCGAGTTCACTTGAGATACAGAGCTTTCATGGTAGCAATCTTGTATTCGATTTACTAGTTTTTGAATATGTTCAAATTTATTATTGAAAATTATTGTATTTACATTTGATTAGGGTTTCGATTTTCATTCTAGGGCTTGTTCTTCATTGAGTCTGCTCTAGATTGCTGTGAGTTCATTCAAGATTCAGAGATTTTCATCACTACATAGTAATGATCTGGATTTGTGTTCCATTTACATAAACTCTTGCTTAGGTTTCAATTTTCATCGGCGATCTAGGTTCTCATCTCTTCCATAAACGATGGCTCGCGCTTGGTTTGAATGATTTGGATCTGATCTAGGGTTATGTTTCTCTCAAGTATGGTTGTTTTATATTTTTCAGTTCTCAGGTATTTGACTTCAATAGTTTTGATCTAGAGTTGTATTTGATTTAAATAGATTTTCTTGTTTGTTCCACAAATAGGCAACTAAGAAATTTTCTATGTTTTTCTCTTCATTTTTCTCTATTTCTTCTCTTTATTTGATGATCTCACTACATATATGTGTTAATATAGTTTTATATGTTTATCTAAGACATCTTTGAAGAACGTCAATCATCTCTGCTTTTGTTGTGTTTTCTTAAACAAGGATTAGTGCTTAGATTGACGACTAGTTTTTGGTCATATAGCACTAAAACCTTCTAATTTGGGTACCTGTTCTTGAATTCTTTGTGTGTTTCTCAATGAATTAACTCCTTTATAGCCAGGGGGAAGATGATTGAGATAAGAAGTTTCAAGGAAATGAACAATTTGAGAACTTGAGCTATTAGAGGGAAGAAGGCACCCAGGACAAAAGGGTTGGATTGTTAAATTCAGTGAAATTGATACGGTAGAGCAAGTAAGCTTAATAGGACCAATCTGTTGTTTCTGTTTGCTTCATCTTTGAATTCTGGTTTCAATTCATGTGCAGAATGACTGACCCAACAAGGGATTGGATTGGCCTAATTTTAAGGTTTCCTTACAGTGGTTAATGAAATAGTGTTACATTGTGTGTAGAAAAAGAAATGTTAAGTTGATGATGCCCTTGGTTTCAAGCGCAAAGCCAACATGATGGTTCAACCTTGGAATAGTTATCTAAGCGCAAATCCATGTGGGTGAAAGCACTAAAGCTTGGTTAAATTTGTTTGCTTTTGTGTGTTATTGTTATCTAACCCTTCCTCTATTATCTTATTATTTGTTATGTGTGCAATTGAAGTATCTTTCTTTGCATCATACTTGTATTTTTTAATGAACTTTTTAATTAAACTCAAGTTCAACCATTTGATATATTCGGGTTCTAATGCATCGCATGTGTTCACAAGTACTTTAGGGTTGGTTTCTTCATCGATTGCACCTACAAGCTCTTTGAATGTTTTATTGGAAAAGTGTGTAAGTTTGAAGGAATTAGAAAATAGGGAAGGTCATGGCTGTAACGCCTTGGCAATCCTGATAATTCAAGGGACTAGGAAGGGTCACTGTGGTTTTTCACAATGTCCTCTCCGTATCCGTTGAAGTAATGGTAGTATATATCCAAAACCACAGCGGGTTGAATACAAAGGAATATGGATAGGTCATTGAACTCGATTTTGATGCTTAATTTGGTCTACATTTCCTTTTGTGCCAGGTGTAGCCTTTTTAATTTCTTAATTTTTTTGGGATAGGGATGGACCAGAATAGAACAGAGAGGCATCTACTGAAGGAGTTGGGTTTCATTTGCCATGTTGAAAATCCTCATAAATTTATATCAAACTACCTTGCAGCCCGTGAGACACCCCCAGAACTGAGACAAGAAGCTTGGAATCTTGCAAATGATAGGTAGCTCTGAATTAATAATATAATTTTTTTTGTAGCTATTTGAGTGTCATTTAACCTGGTAGCTTTTAATGTAGAACTTAAACTCAACCCCAATAAATTTGTGAAAATAATGCCAAACGATAGGTCTGTACTTAGGCTAATGCTCCCAACTACCATGGATAATGTTCAATTTTTTACAATGTGTAATTTGATATGCATAATTATTCGTCTCTATCTATGTATTGAAGATTTCTCGCCGCTAGGCTTCTCTGTATACCTTGACGTTTTGGATGGATTTGTGTGCTTATGTATACCTTGACGTTTTGTTTTTGATTTGTGTGTCATTATTTAGTTTTGATGGTTCATTATTTTGTTCATAATGGCTACTTATCAAATAACAGAAAAATTATTCTCATGGGTATTACTAAGACTCTTTGTTAAGGTTATTCTTTATTGACTATCCTTTTTCTTAAGCAGTTTGCGTACGACTTTGTGTGTGCGGTTCAAGAGTGAGGTTGTGGCCTGTGAGGTTGATTTCTGCTATAAATATATTTTTCAGTTATAAATTTGTTTATGTTGGATGTTTAGTGATACTATGTTGTGCTTGGCGTTAAGGCAAATGGGTTAATAATGGATTATGCATTAATGATAGATTTTGCAAATTTAATTATTGGGTTGTATGAGGATGAGGCATTTTTACCCAATAGCTCTTTTAAGACTATCATTATTTAGTCTTCAACTAATAATGGCATGCTCAATGGTTGATATTTATTGGATTGATAGTCAATGACTGCTGTAAAAATCCAACTATTCAGTCTATTTTTGCAGAAGCTTCAGAATTTGGCTGGGCAACACTCCAATGTTCTCGAGACTCTTTTGCCGAAGATTCGGAAGCGAGTTGATGTTCTCAGAGAGATTCAGGTTTGCTTTCAATATGTGATCTTTACTAATAGGACTGAAAATTCATGCTGTATAGCTTAGTTTCTATTCATGAACATGCTAACATGCTTCAGTGATGTTGAATTGCTTGATTATGTGGTTATTTTTGGGAATGTCCTTGTTGGTTCTTGTGTCTCATATTGTGTCCTTGATTCTCTTCAACATTTGATTTCTTGGGTGTGTTCAAGTGTAATGCTTTGCTGTATCATTGCAGAGCCAACATGATGAGTTGAAGGCAAAGTTTTTCGAGGAGAGAGCAGCCCTTGAAGCTAAATACCAGAAGCTTTACGGACCACTGTACGATAAGGTATGGAGAATGTCACTCATTAAGTGCTGCATTGCTTGCTTTTTTAATGATTTCCTCGGGTGTGTCATAATTTCTTGTAGTCAAAAGTTCAAATTTATGTCAATTGCTGATTTGTTTGGTCAAAATAGTAATTCTTTGTTGGTTGGCTTGTAATGTAATTGGGCATGTTGCAGAGGTGTGAAATTGTAAATGGTGTTGTAGAAGTTGAAGGAGTTACAAGTGAAGCCACAATGGACCTCGAGGATGATAAGTCTACAGAAGGTAGGTCGCTTATCTGGAAATTGCTGAATTCTTCTTCTCATTCTTTTGTTGGGAAACTATACACGTACAAGTCTGATGTTTTCTTTGACTGACGTGTCTAAAGCTGAGAAAGGTGTTCCCGATTTTTGGCTCAATGCAATGAAGAATAATGAAGTATTGGCTGAGGAGGTAAGAGAGAGAACAATACACCAATCTTTTCCCCTCCCCATCCCCATGCCCAACCTTTTTCTTCTCTTTTTGGGTATTAATCTGAGTTGACTGTGATTTGTTGACCCTTGTTTAGATCTCAGAGCGCGATGAAGAGGCCCTCAAATATCTTAAAGATATCAAGTGGTGTAGGATTGATAATCCCAAGGGATTTAAGCTCGAGTTCTTCTTTGATACCAATCATTTTTTCAAGAACTTGGTTTTGACAAAAACATATCACATGATTGATGATGATGAACCTATTTTAGAGAAAGCAATAGGGTAAGCTTCTATTTCCTTGTCCTTGTGGTAAAACTTTTTAGTTCTTCTTAAATTTCACATTTATGTTTGGTACTTTGTAGAACGGAGATTGAATGGTATCCAAGTAAATGCTTGACTCAGAAGATCCTTAAGAAGAAGCCGAAGAAGGGGTCTAAGAGTGCAAAACCTATTACAAAGACTGAAAAATGTGAAAGTTTCTTCAACTTCTTCAGCCCTCCCGAGGTTCCTGAGGATGAAGATGATATTGATGAAGATACTGTACGTTTATCAATTTTATATGCACCAAAATACTTGTTGAAGCCATTATAATTCATAATCTGGTTTCTCCTTTAATCCATTCACATGATTGATTACCAGGCGGAAGAACTTCAGAACCAAATGGAGCAAGACTATGACATTGGGTGAGTGTGAGTCACCCATTCTAATTTTGCTTTTCAGTTCTGGATTTTGCTTACAGAGATTGAATGCGATTTTGTTTTTAAAAATTGGGAAGTAGGACTAATTAGTACTAGATTTTTTGAGGAACACAGTTATGTGAACGGACTCCTATTTGCTTTTGCTCCATTTGTATGTGCGTGGAGAGGGAATCATGCCTAACTTTTTTCTTTAAGATTAATCTTTTAAAGAGGGTCCTTTTACTTTTGACTAATGGCAATGGGAATTTGTAAAATCTGGCTTCTTGAAAAGATCAATTGATATATAAAAGATTAGGGACACTTTTTCATGACTTATGCAAAGTAATGTAATGTGATATGTGGGTTCATATATGCAGTTCAACCATTCGGGACAAAATTATCCCCCATGCTGTCTCGTGGTTTACGGGGGAGGCTGTTGAGGGGGATGACCTTGAAGACATAGATGACGACGATGACGAAGATGATAATGATGATGAAGAAGATGACGATGAAGAAGATGAAGATGAGGACGAAGATGAGGATGCTGACGAAGATGAAAATAAAGCCAAATTACTCACGAAGAAGGTAACATGTACAAAATTCTAAAGAAAAGCCAAAGTCTCTTCCTTCCCACTGTTGGTTTTCAATTTCTGAACATACTAATACTTTATTTCCCTGTTTCTCGTGGGCTCTTTGATTGGGATTTTCATGCAGTCATCTGGACCAAAGGTGAGAGATGCTATAACTACGTAATTTGTTTTTTACTGTGTACAAAATGTAAATATTTTGAACGGTGTGTGCTTTTGGATAACATCTGTTTTACTGTGAATTACAGAAGAGTATGCGAGCTCTAGCTAAGGAAGGTCAGCAAGGTGAGCGTCCACCAGAATGCAAGCAACAGTAGTAATCAGATTGCAGACATCTTCGCTTGGGAACACAGGGTGGGGTGATGTTTTGAGAGTTTTGGGTCTTTGATTTGCCCCCCTGTTTATTGAAATTGTTTCTCTCTCTCTCATATTTTTTCTTGTGAGGAACATTCATATTTTGTTTTTTTGGAAAGTATTTATATTCCGTTGGGTATCTTGGGCTTCATGGGTTGGGATTGTTGTGAATTTTAATCAGAAATTGAATTTTAATCAGAAACTAGTGGAGCATGTCTATTATTTGGTATACAATGATTTTTAGCTTTTATGCTTCTTTTTTGTTTACTTTCTTGAGTAATAGTAGACAGAATGGAACACACTTGCCTGATAGGGTCGGGGCAAGCTCATTGATGATGTAGTTGTTGTTTTTGAACTTTTTGTTAATTTTTGTTTTTAAAGACAAAATACAATAACAAAAATGATGCGCAAAAAATGTTGTTGTGTTGCTTCTGGAGAATGTCTTTCAAGAGAATAATGTATTTTGAAAAAAAAAAAAAGAAGAGAAAGTAGTAGACACATTTGTTTATTTAATTTATGCAATGACAGACGAGATCATCATAATTTATTATTCGGGTGAATCAATATATGTAGATCCTCATGTTGTTCGTGCAAATTCTCAAATCTTAAATCTGTCTCTTTGTTTCACATGATGTGAGGCTTTTTCATGTTCCAAACACTCCCTTTTGAGGTTCTTACTCTCCTTTTCCATTATTGATGGCATAAAGTGAGCCCAATCACAAATAGTCAATGTGCGAGGAAGGATCTAGTGATGTTGAATGAACCCATACTATGTTCCCCCAATCTGCTGAATGAACCCAAACTATGTTCCCCCAATCTGCTGCAACATTTGGGTTGTACTAATAGAATAGATGGTATATCCCTTTGTATATCATTGGCCCTACAACAAATTAAAAGAAAGATGAACTTAAAAAAAAAAAAGAATAACATTTCTTGCAATCCATATTAAGGGCCTGTTTATTTTCAGAGTTAGGTTGGATAAGATTATTAGTGTCGAACTCGTTAGTGAGAAGATTATTAGTGTGGTGGAATTAAGTGAAAGAATTAAGAAAAATTGTTTGTTTGATGACCACGGACTAGTAAAAATTCTTATTTGTTTTGTCATTCTATGATGGAATTAATCCTTGATGTTTTTGACAAATTTTAATATTATAACAATTATATATATTTTTTGGTACTATATTATTTTAATATGTCAGTTTTTTGTTGATATATATATATATATATATATTTTGTATAAATATATTATGAGTGAAGTATCAATAAATCTCAAAATATAATCTTATAAATTGTTTAGTCCTTCAATTTTTCTTATGAACCCAAAAGTCTCATTAAAGTGAAAATTCCACAACATGTTTGAATTTAATTTTTGAGGGATAAAAGTGGATTTCTAAATGTAAAATTACACATTTGGACAATCCACATTATAGAGGTTTTGGATTTTCCTTCATTATTGAACAAATTTCACATTATGAATAAGAACGTAACATTCTAATAACATAACACTTCAATGTAACACACTAAAACACTCCTTCATGTATTTTTTTCAAACGTAATAACGTTACACTTCAAAAAAACTCCTTAGTTTATTTTT